TGACAGAGAGAGACAGTGAGAGCAGGAATACAAGCAGGGGGAGTGGGAGAGGGAGAAGCAGGCTTCCTGCTGACAGGGAGCCTGATGTGGGACTCGATCCCAGGACTCCGGGATCATGACCTGAGCCGAAGGCTGACGCTTAACGACTGAGCCACCCAGGCGCCCAAAAGTTCTAATTTTTTATTTGATTTAAAATTGTTTCCACAATTTGAGAAATCGAAAAAAGAGCAGTCACAAACAATACCAAAGTCTGTGTTTTTTTAATGAAGCAAAAACTCAAAAGAACTTTCCCCGTATTCATTAATAAGGTCATAACCCAGCAGCAATGTTCATACCAGGTGTATCTACAAAGTCAAGAACAGGAATCACTGCATCTCCTTCGTTAGATCTGATACTATGACTCTTCTCTTTTCTGTTAACATATTTGTGCAACATGCTGTAGTACTGCTCCTTTGGATTGAAAGTATATAGTGATGAAATTTGCTGCCAGTCTTTAATGCTGGGGGTGTTGGATTCCTTCGGATGTGCGCACTCAAAGAAACATTTAATATTCTCTTTTGCCAATTCCGTTGCATGCTCTGTGGCCTGACTTTTAAGGATCTGCTGCTCCTGTTCCAAATAGATTTTCCAGAATTTCAACTGCAGGAAACTAACTGGAGATAGGCATCGGGAGACAGAGGTAAAAATCAGAAGGAAGATGATGACAACTGCTATCAGGATCCAGCCCAGCACCTTAGGAAAACACAACAAAACAGCAATTTAGTCACACTTTTTATTTAAAAAAAAAAAAAAAAAGATTAAAATCCTTTTTAAAAAAGATTTTATTTATTTGAGAGCGAGAGTGCACGCACACGCAAGAGAGAGGGCACACGCACGAGCAGGGGTTAGGGGTAGAGGGAGAGGGAGAAGCAGAATCCCCGCTGAGCAGGGAGCTTCACCCAGGGCTCCATCCCCGGACCCTGGAATCATGACCTAAGCCGACGTTTAACCAACTGGGCCACCCAGGCGCCCCAAAATTTAAAACTTCTTACATAGAGTTTGAACTACTCACAGCGATTATGATGATCAAGCAACAGTTTTAGGTCTTAGTCTCTTAGGAGAAAGAAGTGCCGGTAACCTCCCAAACCCCTCGGTAGAACTGCTTGACAAGTCATTTCCCAAGTCATGTCCAGGGCCCAGAGAGGGGCCTATATATCACTCCGCTAGAATTCAAAACGTGGAATTTCGGCAAATCCAAAGAAACAAGCATTCATTTTCAAGAACCTCTGGGCTTTATATGCCCAGAAGCAGTGTGGGGTGGTGGCTTTAGAGCCAGGACAACCCATTTCATTGTAACACATCTGCCTTCTTCCGGCTGGACAAACACCTCGACCTGCACATGGTGTATCAAGAGGATAATGCGGGATCGGAGGTCAAGGGCCTGGCGCGGTATCCGGCCCACAGCAGGAGCCTGAAACTGTCCGTGCGCCTTCCCTCCTTTTCATTCGTGTTACTGAAATAGTCGCCAGGCTAGTCTGTCTTCCCGCGCCCTGCGTCTGGAGCCAGGGCACCCCGCTTGCACCTCCCCCGGCCCCTCTCCCATGCTCCCCACGGCGGCCAGCGGCCCGCGCCTGACCTGCGACTGGGCCTTGAGCTCCTTCAGCAGGTCCTGCGCGTCGGACTCCTGGGCCTGGCGGCAGGGCGCCAGCGGCAGCTGGGCCTCGCAGGTGGGCTCGCGGCCCCGACACAGGCGCCGCGCCAGGGGGACGCTCCCGCTGGCGGCGCACTCGTAGAAGGCGCCCCCGAGCAGCGCCACGGCCACCCA